TAATACAGGTTTTAAAATTTGATTATATAGCAGAATCTTGTTTTGCATAGATACTGTGGATTTGCGGCCAATCAGCCATTCCATTTTTCGCAACTTCATGTCAAGCTCGTCCCGTTTCTTTTTTATGTGTTCTTTCCACCGAAGTTTTGCGTCCAACGTTATACCAAGATATTTTGCAGTATTGGCATATGGTATTTGAGTACCTTGAATCGAAATAGGAAGATACTGTATTTTTTTATTTGTAAAATCCACATAAACAGATTTAGCAGAATTCAGTTTGATACGCCATCTTTTTGTCCAATTGTCTAACGAATTTGTAGCTGTTTGTAATTTGGCTATTGATTCTTCAACGGAGTCAGCAATCGCCAAAATAGCAGTATCATCTGCAAATGTTGCAATTTTATTTTCAGGTGTTATTGGCAAGTCCATTGTGTAAAGCAGGTACAGTAGTGGACCGAGTACACTGCCCTGAGGTACACCAGCTTTTATCGCAGAAAGATTTGAATAGCAGTTTTCGTATTTTACATAAAAGAACTTCGAGGTAATGTAAGACTTCAAAATCGCAAAATATGACGACGGCAAACATGTTTCTAGTTTATTCAAAAGACCTTTGTGCCAGACTTTGTCGAAGGCCTGTGCGACATCGAAGAATACAACAGAACACACTTTTTTACCTTCAATAGCCCTTTCAATTTCATCGACAATGCGGTGTACTTGATCTATAGTTGAATGCTTACCACGAAAACCAAATTGATGGTTTGGTATTAGCTTTTCGGATTCTATTATAGGCATTAGTCTCTTGTAGAATAGCTTTTCAAAGAGCTTCGAAATAGTTGGTAAAATTGAAATTGGTCTATATGACAATATGCATTCTAGCGGCTTGCCTGCTTTTGGAATCATTTTTACTTCTGCGATTTTCCATAATCTAGGAATATATTTTAAATTTATTGTTGCATTGAATTGCATTAATAATTTGCTAACAGCTTTATCTAGTAACTGCTTTAGTCAAGATGTATCATGAATACCTTGGCTTGGTTTACATATAAGACTACTGGTCAAGATGTATGGTGACAACCTTGACACGATTTACATATACATATACTAGCCAAGATGTATGTTAACTACCTTGACGTGATATATGACTACTAGTCAAGATGTATTTAGCTATCTTAACGTAATTAATATAAAACTACAAGTCATGTATATAATTACCTTGACCTGATACAAGAATACCAATCAAGATGTATATAACTACCTTGACGTAATACAAGATTACTAGTCAAGATGTATGTAACTACCTTGACTAAGGTTCTACTGACTTTTTCACAAGGACGTATTACTACCTTTGAGAGTTTCTTAACAAGTGATTTTGCTTATACAATGCGCGTTTATATATACTTAAATGACCAAAGCTTTTGTGTAGCGCATCGGTACATTTGCTGTTGGTAATTTTGGTACTTGTTGACTTTTGTTGCTGTTGTTTTCCTACATGTAATTTCTGTACTTTGTGTTTTCGTGAGTTTTTGAATTCACCGTGCTTTGTATTTTGTTTAACAAAAGCTTTCATGATTTGACGTTTCTTGTATTGTTCACAAACGTGTTTTTTTAATTAGTGCCGGTAGTGGTGGTTTTAATATTTATATTTATTGAATATAATAAAATATATATTAAACGATCAATAAAATAATGTTACGAATTTGATCAGGTTAACAATGGAATGTTTAAATATTATTTAATCATTATGTCAATTAATATTTTATAATAAGTTAGTTGGAATTTGTTGGAGTGAAGCTGTGTTTTCCAAAATTTGTTCCTAGTAATTACTAATAATACTTTAATGTTAATTGTAATTATAATTTCAGATGAATTTAATATGTTATCGGTGCAGATGCGGTGTGTTATTTGTGAGTTATATTAATATAAAATATATGTAAAGTAAAATTAATCTATGTTATTTTCGATTATATTAAAATTCCACAGTGAGTGAAGTTAAATTATGTGTTGAGTATTAAACGTAGTTAACTGTGATATGCAACTAAAACATCTTTTGTAGTTACAAGTTTCGTGACGTTGTTATTACATGTTTACGTTAAATTTATGTAGATTGGAAATATATAAAAATTTCCATCCTTACAGTACAAAATCTCAGCCTTCTGATGCCATCTAGCGTAACCCCATCAGACTTATACAACGCAGGATACAGATAACTAAAGCCATCTATTGGAAAAATTATAGATTTCTGTTTACTACTTATACTTATATAATGAAATAGAAATATTATAACTTACTTTTAAACTGCCTAGAATAAATCGAACAATTCTATTATTCGCTCACAATCGAATATTTGAACTTTAACCAAGGACTCCTCATTTTGTTAACATATAAGAAAACTAATCTTTATGAGCAAAGGCAAGCTTTATTCAAATTTATTCAGAATGAAATCAGAAACGTTCTTTTCCACAAAAATGTCAATGAATTTCCAACGCCTACTTACACCGCCACAGTACCCTCTCCTAGTGGTGGATTACCCAAATCTGTGGTAAAAGCCTGCAGAGGACCAAAACTTGCCACCCTACCGTCGATGAATCTTCCTTCCTACCGTAATGCCCAACAGAGACATAGCAACAGGCTACAGAGAAAAACAATCGAAGCAAGTCAAGTAATATCGCTTTCCCTGAGACAAAGGCAACAGACCCACAATGTCAGCATGAACATGCTGGAATCGGCCATTAACATCAGCAAAAGAACCAATCGGTGTTTTAGTATGCCGCTGAATCTGGGACTTCTGACATGCAACTACGCACAAACATAGCTACATCTCTAACCAAACCAGGTCAAGCATACATAGCCTGCACCAACTTCCGTGTCGCTCAAACACCAGAATGAGCCAAAGCGTCAGGATGTAAGAACCTATTGGCGACAGTTTGCGGGGTCATAAAAACGAACACAACTGTCTGACATATCACATCACAATTCAATACACGAGCCCAGCAGCCTTAACTTCTCAACCCAACGCGATCCTCAGATTAGCTCTGCAACTGAACGAGTAACTCTGCATCAGTCTTCTCCCCTTCAGCAATCAACTCAATATCATATGCATCCAGTTGAACCGTTGCAGCACTAAACAAAGAAGCAATCATAGCATTATCTGCGCCAGTCAATATCAGTACAATACTGAATAATAATACTGATACAATACTGTCTTGCACGACGAGGTGATGCCTTTTCACTAACTTGCCTAAATGCAAACGTCAACAGTTTGTGATCTGTAAAAATATTGAAATTACGCCCCTCCAATGCATACTTGAAATGCTAGACAGCTTGATAGATGTCGGTTAACTCACGACGACTACTTTTAGTAGCCATCGCTCGCTAAATGTTCAAATTGGCGTACCATTGGCGGCAAATAAATTAGTTGTTGAGTCACTGCTAGCTCTTCGCTTCGAATGACCGAACGACTTCGATATAACCGATATGTCGGCGCCAGTATCAATGAGAAAAACCGCCAACGTGGCAGGATCTTTAATGCTAAGTCGAGCTATACGGACGTTATTCCCCTCCCAGCTCGATGAATTAGGAGTGCCTAGTTTTTTAGTTGCAAAGTACTTGCCGCGAAACTACACGGCTGCCGGCAAGTATTAGCCCTAACACCAAAACTATCGTGATACCAGCGCCAATCTGGATGACTTCCTGGTCGGGAACGAGTTCGCCTACGCCTCCTCAATGAAGAACGACTTTGCAACGACTTACCAGTGCGTACATCTAAAGGACTTAAACGCTGCTCGATTTGTTCAAGTCTTCATAAAATCAAAGCATTCTCGAACAATGCCGGATACCCTAAGGCTAATGCTTCAGCAATCTGCTAAAAATTGTCCGTCCCTCAAACACAGTCTGCTAACTCAGCCAGTGCCATGTCCGGTGCCTGCAGAATAGCGCGTACTTGTGGTGGTAAACGCTGCAGCCAAAAAAACTTGAGAAACTCATTGCTTACCTTCTCTATTGCTAACGTTGTCAACTCCGCCAGCAACTGCGTTGCCGTCTGTCACCAAGCGCTTTATGATACGGGCCTTCCAATTGGCGTGCTTCTCAGCTGCAGGATGATGAAGCAGAGCATGAATCACATTGGCCACGACACTTGACTTAATCGCTGCAACAACCGTGTTATACTGTGTGAAGTCACTTGAGACACCAGCTACAGTGAATTGCATCTCGATCTGAGCAAATCAAATCTCCGGTCGCTCATACCAGAACGGCGGTACCCTCACTGCCACACGGTTTACGCCGCTCACAGCCAGCTTTTTCACTATCGGAAACCGACACCACACCTTCGTCGCAAACTGACATCACGTCGGGGTCACCAATTTCGCAAAGGACTCCCGATTTTGTTAACAAATAAAAAAAATTAATCTGTGCAAACAAAAGCAAACTTTATTTAAATTTATTCAGAATGAATTCGGAAGCGTTCTTTTCCACAATAATTACAAAAGTGAAAATTCCTGAAATTGAATTTAAAACTTTAATTACAATGAATTTCCAACGTCTACTTGCACCGCCACAAAACTATTTAAAAAATCCAAATTTTTCGAATAAGAACAGCATGTTCGAATACGAACAGCATTACTAAGTTTAGAACTTTAACGTAGGAACGTTTTTTATATAAAGAACTCGAGGAGAATATGCTTATTTATAACAGGTTCAGTTTAGTGTTCATTTAAGAATAATTTCGTGAGACTGTCAAATTTTACAATCATGTAATTATACTTTTGCAATGTATGTAACTTTCACTAAAAGTCAATTGTTGTAAACCATACATAAAATTTAAATAAATACATATACATATATTATTTAAATTTGATAATTTAAGTTTTAAGTTTCATTTTAAACATTTATAAAAACATCTTTGTTTCATAGCCATTTAAAAACATTTGATAAATACTGATTAGCTTAAAATTTCTTACAAAGAATAGTAAAATTAATATTTATATAAAGATATATATTACCTCCTTAGAAGTGTTTTGAAAAATATCATTAGATATGATATCTTTTACTTTAGTTTTGTTTATATCCTTTTCATTTAAAACCCAAATTTCTAAGTACATTATCGACATAAAAAAGGCCTGGCAATAATTTGAAGCTTTAACAACGTATAACAAATTTTTCGGCAGAGATCTATAAAAAAACATTTCCACATTATTAAAAATAAGTTGTTTTATAAATTACATCTTACTGTTTCGTATGAATGCGCACACATTCACATATATTAAGAAATTTATTTACGATACGTTTCTCTTGATAAATGTTTCTTGTCTTAAAAACATCACTGTCACCTTTCTCCACGTTATTACAACAATTAATATAGAATTGTTCAAAAAAATATTCCAGCATTTCAATTAGTCCCTTAATTTGATTTGAATTATTTGAGGTCAGCAATTTAATAAATAATTGAAAAGCTGCATCAGCAAAGCTTAAATCATTAATGGCCATATCATGAAAATCATTCCATTCACAGCATTTAAAAATATTTGACACAAATTGACAGATCCATATATCATAGTCACAGTAAATAGTTTGTTTTAAAACATTGATCCAATCGATGTGCTTTATAATTCGAAATTGATCCAAAGTAGTTGTTTGACTCTGAGGTACATTAAGAACATTAAAAAACGGAAAAAGATCTGAAAGTATTAAAAGATCCAAACCGAAAACAATTTAAGAGACAAATGTGAAAATATTAAAATTCTGAAAATTGTATTATTGATTATCCAATATTGTTTTAAAGTAAATGTTATATGTTGCCTTGTAAAAGGAATGCAGTTTATTTAAATATTTAAAAAACTAGTTATTAAGTTATATAAATTTTTGTAATGAAATTTATTTTTCTGATATTTTTTGTAATATTATCAGTAGTGATATATCATAAAATTTTTTGGAAAAGTAATAAGCTAAGACATGCGGTGCACAAATTTGCACACAGAACTTTGTATAGGTAAACATACGTTCGCATGTTTAAGCAAATTTGCAAAACAATTACTCAAAACATGAATATAAATACTCTCTCCTTTGCAACCTCTGTCTAAGTTTTCTGCTTTCAAGGGGTTAAACTCTTTTATTTAAATTTTTTTAACATTATTTTCGTTTGCACTAAGGTACTAAAAAATTATATAACCAATCTAATCAGAAAAATATATTTTCCTCACATACAAACAATTAAAGGTCACCCTAATATTCACTAACAATAAAGTAACATGGGTATATCATATTAAAAAAAGTAATAAAACTAAAATTCAATCAATTATATTAATTCCAGTGTTACTAGGAAAATTTGGCCTTAATACTTTCATCGTACCTGTAGGAATAGCTGTGGCAGCGGATTTGATGATAATGCTGCGAAATATTGCAGAGGACAGGGAAATATTGCCGAAGTCGCGTTCAGAGGCGTCTTTAAATAGGGCCCAGTTCGCTTTTTTTTAAATTTCTGAATGTTTTCTTGTCAGCTTCGTATTAAACCTCGAACGACGGAATTGAGATGGTAATGGGAGTGTGGTCTGAGCTTAAAGCTATTTCCATACTCCAATTCGAGGCAGCGAGCAGTCTGGGGCTGGCGAGACTGACATCAGAAGAGCTAAGCCAAGTTGGTGTTACCCTAGTTAAAGAATCTTCATTTAGTACACGAAAAAACGAATTATCAAATTGGAACGCCAATTGTAAACCCCTTTAATCGGTTGGTAGATTTGAAAACCACAGAGGATGGTGGGCATTCAAATACCCAACACAAAACGTGAGTCCCTTTCGAGAAGATGAGAAATATCAGGGGAATGCTGTGATGGGGGCAGCTAGAGTTCAGTGGCAGGTAGATGTTAATAACTTCAATGAATTTAGAAGTCCTACCAATAAAAATGTTCAACCCTATGTGTTATTGAATCCCGCAACAGAAAGGCAACTCCAACTACGTATAAGGGTGAAACCTGACGGGGGTTAGAGCTGAGTTGGGCAAAAGTTTTGTCTCTTGCAGTGCAGCAACTGCGATGTTGTCAGAAGTCAAGAATGCTGAATTTCGGAAAGTTTCCCTTTTAGGCCATTACAATCAAACTGCAGAGTTTTAAGAGGGGAAGACTTGTATAGTTGAAATTTTGTGAAATTTTGAAAATATATACGAATTATAAAAAAATTAAAAAAAAAAAATTTTAAATTATAAAAAAATTTAAAATAAAAACAAAAAAATATTTAAAATTAAAAATATGTTATATATAGTGTATATGGGTCATTTTGGCAAAAAATGACCTCATGATCTCCGATTTGGCTGAAATTTTTTTATGAGCTCCTTTCATAAAATAAGAAGACCCGTATCTCGGAAAAAAATTTTGTGACTTTTTCCTAGGAGATATAGACCCATGGGGTTTTGAGAATTGGCATAGTAGACACATTTTCAAATGGTTATATCTTAAGTTCTATAAAAGGTAGAAACTTGAAATTTACAGCGTTTCAAAGATAATTGATTGAACTTTTATGAAGTTATTTAAACAATTAAAATTGTTAATGTTTAAGTACTAATATGAACCGTTAAATTAAAAAAAAAAAATTTCATAAAGAGGTTTTTTCAAACAGTAGTGAAATACAACAACAAAAATTTTATTTTTTATATTACTTTATTTAATTGAATTTTTGGCTGACCATACAGCTGTTTCGAGTATTGCCAAATACCCTTCATCAGTGGTCTTATAATTCTTGTATTTAATTATTCGTAAATAATTATTTTTGAGACTGCAAGTACCAGGAATCGAACTCGGATCCTGTCAAATGTGAAGCTCAGAATTAGCGCACCTTAACCAAGTGATCCAAAGCCGTACTTGACTTTTTTGTTCGCATATTTTTGCTGGAGTTTTGTTACTTTTGCTATGAAAGTTTTTATTAACAATTTTACTTGCTGTATTTATATATTAGAACGAAATCATAAACCAGCTGTAGAATAATTGAATTAATTAATTAATTATATTTTTTTATTTTTAATTGTTAATCACAAATTTAACATTTTTAATATTCCTCCGGATAACTCTAAGAATAGCGATGAAGAACATGACTCGAATCAATTTTAAAAAATCTGCATGAAGAGTTTAATGGCACAGCAAATGGAACTATGAAAATAAAAATATTGGGTGTGATACATAATTGGTCTATCCGAAAGGGTCACGACTTACTTCTCAAACGCTACAAAATGTATGACTACTGTTGTTAAAAAACTTACTTCAGAGAAATGAATCTTAGAAAGCCATCGCTAGGAAAACATGTACTCAAAAGAGTTTTAAATTTTTACGAATGTGAAGAAAACAGTTAAGTAATGCCTGGGAAAAAAGACTGCGTATCCGTACAAATTGACGAAAAAAGAACACAAATGCAAAAACGGTCCATTCTAAACAATTTGAAGGAGTTGCATACTCTTTTCAAACTCAACCATCCAGACCTGTAATGTAGTTTTTCAAAGTTTGCATCTCTACGACCACAACATTGCGTTCTTGCAGGAGCAAGTAGCACATATTCAGTTTGTGAGTGCTCCATACACGAGAACATGAAATTATTAATAGATGGAGTGAATATAAAAGCACTGACTGCATGCAATAGAAAGCCGATAAATAACTATAAAGATTGATTGATTGATTGACAACATGATTGACACCGTTACATACAAACAATGGGTTCGTGAAGAGGGAAGCACATTAAAAACGTTGATATCCCAAATAGACGAATATTTGCAATCATTAACAGATGGTTTAGACATATTGCTGTTGCATTCTTTTATTGTTAAAAAACAGGCAGAGTTTTTAAATGATAAGAAAAGCAACTTAGCAAGAAATGAATGCATAGTTTTGCGTGATTTTTCCGAAAATTATGCTTTTGTCGTTCAAAACTCTGTTCAAGGTATTCACTGGAATAATAATCAGGCAACAATTCATCCGTTTGCAATATACCACCGTGATGAAAATAAAAAACTACAAATAAAAAATTTTGTCTGCATATTTGACTGTTTACATCACAACACAACTGCTGTACATTTGTTCCAAAAATACGCTATCAAATTCATTAAAAAAATTAGTAGGGATATCAAAAAAATTATTTATTTTTCTGATGGATCGGGTTCACAATATAAAAATAAAAAAAATTTTATTAATTTAACTCATCACAAAATGGACTTTGGTTTGGAAGCAGAATGGCACTTTGCATATGTTTTAACTTACTATATGTAAAGCGCCTTTTTTGAGTGCAATATTACAAAGAAGCTATGCAAATGTTTCTCTACAAGTTCGCTAATCGCGTTAAGGAAAAGCTGAACAATATTATTGTTCATATTTCCTATAATTTTAATGTTTAAGGTTAATTTTTTCTTGCCGATAATGGCGTGTCTTTTTATGACGAAAGAAACTATTTAAAAATTAGACGGATTCGAATAGCAAAGAAAGGACATTTGCATAGCTTCTTTGTAAAATTGCACCTAAAAAAGGCGCTTTACATATAGTAAGTTAAAACATATGCATAACAGATGTCTCTACAAAAAGAATAGCTTTGAAACAAAAATAGGCAAGCTCAAAGAATAATTTTCAATTCGTTGAACTTGTGTTTCCAAATGAAGCTGTTGTTTATAAGCTCGTTCTAATTTAAAGCACGGCAAGTGCTTTGGTTGGTGTCACTAATTAAATAAAAATAAGTGACAAAACCTGGAATTTGAGCATTGAAAGTTTGTGCAGCCTTGGCTTCTTGTGGATAAACACGATTAGTCATCGCTTCTAATTTGACAGGCACGAGTTCTAAGCCTGGGACTTGCAGTCCGAACAAATTATATACGGACTATAAACTAATTAAATAAAATTCGATTATTTCCAAAGACCACTGATGAAGAGTACTTGGGAATACTCGAAACAGCGTTGTATGGTCAGCCAAATTTCAATAAATTAAAAATAAAAAATTGTTGTCTTTTTCCTTTCTTTGCTATTCGAATCCGTCTAAAAAAGTAAACATTTTTGAATAGTTTTTCTTGGAAAATTGATTTTATGGTACTATGGTGCGTATGAGTAACGTGAAGCACACTTGATTAATTAATTTTTTTTAATTACATCTAAAAGGAATATCACACTGGAATTATTTATTTTTTAAGTAGAATTTATATATTAATTTGAATCAAAAGTAAAAAAAAAAATTTGTGTGACATATTCCTTTTTTTTTGTACTGAAAAATTGTGTGTATGTGTTTGGTGTGATATGAAGGATAAATAAATTTTTAAAAGTACTTCTAATTACAATATCGTTTTGAAATTTTTCGGTTTTATGTAGAATTTTATTACTAATCGAAATCAAAAATATTATATAAGAATATATGTAGTATATTCTTTGAAAATTCATTCAATGGAAATGTAGTACAAATGTGCTTGATGTGTTTTGCGGGGAAAAAAAATATAATAAAATATTTTAAAAAATAAGGGGTTCCTGAAAATATTTATTTCGTAGTAAAATTTAAACTGAATCTAAATAAAATATAAAAAATAAAAATTCAAAGACTAGTTTTGAGAAATTTTTTTTAGATTAGGTTCTATACATAAGAAAGAACAAATCATGCAACAGATACGGGTCTTCTTATTTTATGAAAGGAGCTCATAAAAAAATTTCAGACAAATCGGAGATCATGAGGTCAAAAAGGTGTCCGAGTTATAAAAGAATGACGCATATATAGTTGCATTGTCTCAACTATATATGGGTCATAGTGCGTTGTGGAAGTGAGCGATTTTGAGGTGGATTTATGAGTGGAAGTTGGCAACAAGTGCCAACAAAATTAGAATTCTTGCCATGATGCGAGCTTAATCCTGAGCAAGGTCTAAGATGACACCATTGTTGCAGAAATTGCAACGTACAGATATGGTGTTCTTAGAAATTGCTCGATTCCAAACTATGCATAGCCAATTGGTAGAAGAGGGGAATGCCATGGGAGGAGGTTGGGTGGCATTGATTGAAAGAGGACTATCAGTGGTTGACAAAGATGGGGATAGTCTAACTAGACGAGTAATTGGACAACAAGTTCCTCTAAAGGCAAAGTTTAAATCAGTATGGCTATGCAAACCTGAACAGTTATGGAGATGGCATCAGTTATTACAACTGTTGCACCTAACAGATATTTGGTTTCTGCGAATGAGAATGTTGCAGACAGAGCAGTGCCATTTCGAAGGAGTTGGTATGGCGGGACCAGGGTTAGGTTCAATTCTGGCCATTAGAAGTCACATAAGAAGCAAGTTGATTGGAACTTGCTTCTCAGTTCAAAAAACACATATTAACGAAAATATTAAACAAACGCATACCTGTTTGTGTGAGCGCTTTGGGGCTGTTGAACGGCGCTTGGTCATCTTCGACGAGTGACTCCGGAGCGTAGGCCCAGCCGTTCTTGGAACCATTATTTTTTGTTGTCATATTCTAGTACGTAATATTTAACTAATTTGATTGCTTAATGTAATGTGTAATGTATAAGAAGAACATTACATTATAATTATTTTAAATGCGTGTTTAATAAATAAAATTTATTAATTATTATAATTGTATGAAATAATTTATTATGAATAGCTATTCCCTAAGCTATTTAACATCATCTAAAACCAACTAATAGTGCTTATAAGTGCATATCTTATGTATTATCAGCATTATAGATTTGAGTCTCTTTAAATTTTGGTTAGCACGCTATGGACTGCGTTTTTATTATAGTTTACCTATAAGCAAAAATCCAGGCCTTGCACTTACACACATATTAAAACTTCTTCGCTTTTAAAAGTCTGTTTGACTCCAGGGGCCGATAATAACAGTTATTTCAAAATTTTTTATGAAAAAAGCAGCAAGAAAAAGTTGTCTAAACTCATGTTTAAATATACAACCACCTTAGATGAAAAATGCATTTTATATTTTCGTTTTAAATATATTCTGCAATAAGTGCCAGTTATTCATGATTTTAATATTTATAACGCAAAAGTAATAATGAATTCTGCGTGTTAAAATAAAAAGAATTTAAAGAGTTACTTCTGCGCGAAGAAATAAAAAGCATATAAAATAATTATTTTTGAGGAATATAATAGGGGTATTCAGGCAACTGATTAGTTGCTTAGTAGTTAATTACAACAAAAATTTGCACACAAAAATGAAACTAAGCAGAGAATCACCTATTTCGGAGATTTGATTAATAGTGCTGCCAGTACCAAATGTCAGCGCTATGATCATAGGGTGTCTTAAAAAGAAAATGCAAATATAATAAATTAATAAATAAAATTCAGTAAAGCTATAATTTTTAAAGGGTTAAAATATAATTAAAAAGTATAAAATTGAATATTCTGCTTCTTGATATATGACACGTTTGCAATTTTAGTTATATGATAAATTATATGATAAATTTAAATGATATTAAAATTTAAGAATATTTGAGTATTTCACTGTTAACATGCGTTTCTCTTTTGCTGTTGATACGAGTGCTGGCATTTGCACACAACAAACTAATCAGATTACGCATTTGGGTCGTTCAAGCAACTGCTTAACATCAAAATGTTAATTTTTTTTATATGAAGTTTTTGAATCAACTAAGCAACTAACTAATAAGTTGCCTAAATACCCCTAATATAAAGAAAATTAAATTATTATTTTTTGAGTTTTATTTTAAAATGCGAATGATAATAGTTAAAAGGTGATTTTTATTTTTTTATGATAATTGTTACGGTCCCTGTTTGACTGAAATTATTGTATAATATATAATACAAATTATATGAACATATTAAATTTATACATACCATAATTTTTCAGTTCCGAATTAATTAATTGTCTAGATATTCGACAAATAATTTGATGCTTTCCTTTTTTAAAAGTTTTTAATAGATTGTCGAAAATAGTTAACATAGAGCTCACAAAACTATTTATGGGGTCAATTGACTTCGAAGCCTATAAATTTAACTGTTCATTATTCATATTAAACACAATTAATAAATATATACTTACATTGTTGTAAAACATAACATCTGTTTGAAAATAAAATGAAACTCCTTGTAATTTTTGAGAACCTATCTCACCCAAACACTGAGATGCTAATAATTTTTGTTCCCATTTTTCTGAATCACGTATAATATTTATTAAAAACTTTAGCAGTTCAGAAAGCATGTCTTCTTGTAATTGAAACTCCAGTTTATTTAAAGCAAGCTTAATATTAATAAATTCAAATAAAAGTTAGAGCTATATTTATTATTATATAAAAAAATAAACTACTCAAACTTCGTCAATGTTTTAATACCAGTGACATAAAATTGTTGATAACTTATAAGGCTAATTTTTAATATTATAACCGATCATTTAAATGACATATATATTAACTCAAGCCCAATAGAAAAATTTTTGTTTGCTGATGTAAAAACTCAGATACGTTTCTTTTTAATTTCATTATTGCAGAAAATTTAGTAATTGTTAATATGGATAATGAGCCGACCTTCATGACCTTAACTCCCAAGAAGGGAAGTTCTCGACACCACGACAGATCCGAATTTCAAAGGTGGAACTCAACAATCACAGACATTCGCAAGACTTGTAGAAAACTCTTTAATGAAGCTAAATACACAAGCAACTGGACTTTATAAAAAGAGAAGCAATGGGGTTTGAAGTACGCTCTATGACATTTTTGAGAAACTTCAGTGGCTATATAAAAACCTCTTCCAAGATTAGCCGACTGCTCAATTCTCTTCCTGTAAGACTATTATTAGGTTCCAGTGAGTGTGGTCTCCTCAGACCATGTACTGACACATATCAGACAATCCCACTCATTTTCAAGTGACCAACACTTAAAATTCCAGCCAAACACTGGAAAAATACATTAAACTAAGAAAGATAAATACAATACTAAGGTGTGATTTTACATTATACGAAAATTGTTTTGAATCCATTGTTTTGAAAATAACAAAAGTAGCTTCAAGTAAATGGCTGTCACTTTTTTCTGACTAATCGATATATCATAAAATTTTACACATAGTCTTTTGAAGGTTGGTACTTTATAAATGTCATATGGATTTGACAATGGCAGCGCTATCTGTGTATCAGTTACACGACTTATTGACTGATATATTAAAGACATAGTTATTTAAAATACCAATATAACCGGACTGATGTAAGGTGCCATTTTTCGATACCAAATTCCCAAATGCATAGCATGATAGACATCCCCAAAACAAAACCGTGCCACCTTTAAATTATTGAGTGGCTGCACTATTGTATACTTTTGGCGTTGTCGTAAATGCATGGAGTGCTTATCAAACGACCCCTACAATTATAATACAGACTCATTTATCCATAACACATAGTAACAAAACTATATAGGTTTCTTGAAATATTTCAAAGCAAACGAGAAAATATTTGGTAGAGTCGTTACAGTAATATAGGTATAGGTATTGATATAGGTATTGATATTAGCATCTTTCAGCCTGCGATGTAGTGTAGCATCACTAATAATGGCAAGATTATCAACTTTTCCGATGATGATGCAATTTTGACAGGACGTATTGTAGGATTTTCTACGACTGCACATAATAATTTTTATTTATTCCCTTTGATTCATGAGAGGTTGTCTAAAAATTTTTCAAATTTCTGCATATGTTCTTATTTTAACTAGATTTTACACCGCTTTACATAAAAGTTTGCATAACTTTATTAAATTTGTCGCCAAAATACCACTCCTATATGAGGTACCAACCTCAAATCAATTTCAACTGATAATTTCTTGGTTTTTATCATTTTCCTAAATAATTTCTGAAATTTTGAAATCTCTAAATTTGTGTAGTTTGTGACAAAAGCTAACTACTGCACTTACTTAAAGCAAATCCTAGAATAAATGCTCATTAATGTTTTGTGTAAATATTTGTGACGCGAAAAAATATGTGTAAATACTTTTGACAACTAATAAGTATCAGTGCATTTGCATATATTTTTGTTAAATGAACAGTTGTCTTACAAATTCATTTTTTATTTGGTTCTGCATAGATAAAACTAAGTGACAACAAAAAATTTTTTTTAAAATTAAGTCCAACAACAACAACAAAAATCTATTTTAGTGCAATATGCACAAAAATGTTCGTTGTGTAAATACTTTTGACTATGGCTATATATATGTGAATAGTATTAAAATTTAACTATACTTACAAATTCATGTAGTAACTTTAAACTTTCTGTATTATGTTTCCCTTCTAAGATTGATTTTACTACTAACGGCAAGTTTTCACTTTTTCTTTCAATCTGATTAACTAAATGTCGTTTCCGCAGTTCCATGAAATCGGAAGCGTTAGGTAAATCACCCAGATAGTCCAGTATTTCCTTAATTTTTTCACTATGATTGACTATATATTTTATTGTTGAAACAAGAAGGTCTCTAATTTCAATATCTTGAGAGCCCTCATACAATGCGAATATACTTCTTACAATATATTCAATATACATTCGAATAACTTTAACTATTTCATTCACCTCCAAATGGTTAAGAAGTGTATTTTGCAGCATATTAATTAAAAAGGCGTGGATATAACGGTGTTTATCTTAAAAACAATCAAAAATTAGTGTTAATAAATACTATGACTATTGGCATTAATTAACTTACCGTCTTGTAAATGATGTATAATTAAAAATAGCATATCCCGAATAAAAAACATTATAATATACTCAGCAGAGTCCCCAGATTTCTTATTTGCTGGTAAAGACTCAATTATTAGCAATACAATACTATTATACATACACAAATACTTTAGTTGCTCAGTGAAAAAAAAACTGGTCATAAAGTTATCTTTTAATTCATTTACAACATTTACTAAGAGTAGTGGATTCGTAATTGTAAGTGTATAAAATAAATGCGATACGCTATCATTATTTTTGAAACTTTTACTCTGAAAAACAATATGTTATATATTTTATTACAAATAAAAAATTTTTCTTACTAAGTTGAAGCATATACACTTCTTAAAAGAAGTATATGACAAATTAAACCACTTATGTGTATCACTCCAAACGGTATATCCACACAAATCCTCAAAATGTTTATTATCCCTTAACTGAGTGGTTAAACTTAAAAATGTTTTCCAATTCATTAAAGACTTAGAACAAAGAGAAATTACATCAAGTTTAAACGTATTGATATTGTCAAATAATGTATTGTAGTGTTGATGATATTCTTTTTTTTCTGTCTCTTGGCACATTGATATTTTTGGCAACACAATTGCAGCAATGATGGGAAGGGCCAACTATAAATGCAAAACATAATCAGCATTATCATATTATCACAAATTTTGTTTTAAAATTTATTTTTTTATATGAAGGTATTCTATTTCCAAAAGAAAAACAGAATATTGTAAATACTTGTTATTTCACAAGCGGAGAAAATTTAGACTAAAAATTACTTCATCACCTTCGATTTGGTTGAAATTTTATTATCTCGAAATTAAAAACGAAAAAACTTTCAAAATACACCCCCAAAAATTTTAATATTTTAGTTCTTTATTTTATTATATTTTAGTTTTTTATATTTAATAAAAATAATCAATTTTTTTTAATTAATTAAAAAGGTTTGACCTACAAACCTCAACTTGAAGATTATAATTTCAAAAAAAGAATGATGCATTTCATTTCACTACAATAGTACAATACTTTTCTTTGAAATAGTTGAATTTCGGTAATGGAACTTTTGCTGTCACATCCTTACAGTGGTATACCATACATCTATATATATTGGTTTCAAAATTTGTTTTTAAAATGATAATTTATTATAAATTTGCAGCCTATAAGATAACTTATCTTGTTTAATTTTTAGTCAAATTTTTCTCTTTTATTTTTTACGTGCGCCATCTAACGCACCTTTGCATCCCGAGTAAAGCATTTTGTTTCATTAGCCTGTGGACATTTTGTTTCATTTATCTATGGATTAAAAGATGTACTTTTTAATCCGAAAATTATATGTAGTGATTTGGTGTTGCTAACACAAAATTAACAGCGAATTGTAATTCAGCAGTAGCTTCTTCAATTTTTTCTTCGACTCTCAAAAGAGCTGCACCATATGCAAATGAAGCGGTAATATATTGATTTGAAGCCGGTAGGTCAGATGTATACACCGGATATAAAAGTAGTACAAGGAAACTACTTTGTGGCAGACTAGCACTGATATCTTCATGATTTTAAGAACAAACATGAAAACATTTTTAACCCCAAATTATCTATCTTTAAGATACGAAAAAAGAATGAAATTTATTTTAATTTCAGTAGCAAATTGAGTGCCACACTTTGGCAATTGTATGCACAACTCTGTAAACTTGGTCAATAGTTGAGTGGCATTTTCCAAATCCAAACTGGTTTGTCTATATATTTAATAAAAATAATCAGATACCCCAGCAAAATAATAACACACAAAAGGAAATTGGCGTTACAACCTATGTCGTTATTAGATCAAAATCTGGCAATTTCTTTAAAGTTAATTTTTGTATTTCGCGTAGCATTTCCTTTGTTGTGACGGGAGTTATAATCATTTTTTTTCTAACCAATCTATTCATTTAGTATGTTTATTAGGGTGGTTCGAAAACAAAATTTTTTTTTGCCTCTAGTATAGAGTAGAAAACTGTAAAAAAATAAAAATGATCAGTTGATATATTTCGTTCGCGCATCGTCTCCAAAAGTTGGCAAAACTTGTAACGAACCTTTCTGGCCGGGGTTTTACTCGCCGGATTCAAGGTTCAGTCCTACAATAAATTTATTTGATAGGAACAGTGGAATACGGTGGATGGTGACGTTGGTACGGTGATATGGTTTGAAGAAATGTGAATTTCTTCTCTATACAATGGATTTGACGTAGAAATGTTAATTTCGACGCCCCTGACAAAAGGTTTGAAGAAATGTGAATCTCTTCTTTATACACTGGATTTGGCGTAGAAATGTTAATTTCAGCGCCCCTGACAAAAGGTTTGAAGAAATGTGAATTTCTTCTCTATACAATGGATTTTGGCGTAGAAATGTTAATTTCAGCGCCCCTGACAAAAGGTTTGAAGAAATGTGAATTTCTTCTCTATACAATGGATTTGGCGTAGAAATGTTAATTTCAGCGCCCCTGACAAAAGGTTTGAAGAAATGTGAATTTCTTCTCTATACAATGGATTTGACGTAGAAATGTTAATTTCGACGCCCCTGACAAAAGGTTTGAAGAAATGTGAATTTCTTCTTCATACAATGGATTTGGTATGGGTGCTAATACTCATGTGGTATTATCACCTTACCGCGTAATTTACTAACGAAAATTTGATTTCGTTATGAACAATAGAGTAATAGAAATTTATATTTCTATTACTATTAACGAAATGTTAATTTCGTTATTAATTATGATTTTTAATAGAAATGTGTATTTCTATTAAAAATAAAAAAAAATAAAAACAAAAGAGAAATCGAGATGTAAATTTCGATTCTTGGTGTTTCAGCACATGTAATATAGAGCGACCTGTTCTTAGCTCGCTGTCTTGCTGAATCCCCGTCTACTGCGTTTGCTTCGCCTTTTATACTTGTGATGTGCGAAGCAAGCAGTATCTTTGTTCTTGTGATTTCAACGGTTCGTTGTTTACAAGTTTCTTTCTATTGTTGTTTGTTTTCTTGTTGTTTATTTTGTTTTTATTATATTTGTGTTGTTTGGTATTATTTGTGTAGTAAAATTTAGTTAGTGTAAATTTTATGTTACAAACTGATTAAATCGAATATTTTCAAAATAATTTTACTATTATTAGTATAAATACAATTAATACGGTTTAACTATTCGTGTTCAGTTTAAATTCCAAAATATTAAAATAAAATAACAAACCACTGATATAATAATATTAACCTGTTGCCCAATATCATCGCATAATAACACGCGTAATTTTCGCGTCTTTCTTCATATTTCAAAATGACGACATTTGCAAATTGTAACTGAATATAAATGCATCGCACAATGGTCTATTACCGTAATATATTGTTTTAACTAACAGAAATACAAATATTATTAAACATCAATCATAGTATAAAGTATACCATTCGCAATTTACTTAAAATATTCGAAATTGTCCATCCTTTCCCTAGCCAACCAACCATCTAAATAGGGTGTGTTATTAATTTTGTTTACATGTCATATCAAACTACGCAGCTACCCATACGAATGAAGTAAAGACCTGACTTGTCCGAAAAATCAGGCATGTTCGATCTTGATAAGAGTTTTGCTCTGATTGAATCATTCCTTGCACTTTATCCGCAAACTGTATTGGAAGTTTCAGCCACAAGTTTTATGCACCTCTTGACTGCTTGCGCATGACATGGATAATTCTTAAAATCTAGGAGTGTTTCGGACTTTTGTTTACAAATACCTTCAATTTCTTATTAATTACTTCTCGTAACAAAGGTGTAAGTGTCAATTTGCACAACTTACAATCAATAATTTGTGTAAAATCTTCAGCTTTAAAATTCAACTTTGGCAATAAAAATTCTATAATCGCTTTTTCTTTGAATTGCCTTGTTTTAAAAATTCTTTCGCATTCAAGTTGTCGATTTTTCTTTCTTGTCTACAATGATTGCTGGAAGTTCTCCTGCGTGCTTCTGGTGACTTGGGATGTTGATCACTAAGTCCGATGACTTCAAATGTCGATCCCTAACTGCCTTTGCTAAGCAAATGAGTCGTCTTATATACGCATTTGAAAAAACTGTAATGTAGCGCAAAGCTTAGTTTACAAGCATTTTTGTCGCCGTTTCTGTTTTGTGCTTTCGCCGCAGATCTTTTAATGATATGCGCGCGAGTTACAATTACTCACCAAGCCGCCACCCAAGATGACACCACATAAATTATCTTAAGAATATTCATTATACTCTCATTGTATTTCTTTTCTTATATATATAAAATGCTTAATCTTTTATTATTGTTTATTTACTTATTGTATTTTATTTTACTTAGTTTCTTATTACAAAATTTATTATTGCTTTTGTATACAAATATTTAGTATCGTATTTTCTCATGTCAATGTACTCATATTACCACATAAGTCACACTTATGTTATTCGACCTAGAAATAAAAAAAGCCGCACATAGGCAAAACAGTATTACAAAATATCCGCTAATAATAAAAATGCAAGTGGTAGAAATTTCGAAAGTAACCCACTTACGAAATTTCTACAACAACAACAATACGTTGCATTCCTAAGTAATGTTTAGGAAATGCAACAGATATTCAAGTGGAATTTTGTTTATGTGCAATAAATTATTTTTGGGTCACAATATCGATTAGTATTGAATGTAAATTTTGAATATATAAATTGTACTTATAAAATTTTTGGTTCAGAATAAATTTGTCTTTGAAAGTATACACAACGCACCGTGTTTTATTTAATTTTTCTACACTGAGTTAAGACCGAACCTTAACTGGCGCAGTCGACGCGGAACGGAATAAAGTGTAAAAAAGTGACTAAGTGAAATCGAAAATAAATATATAAATATAAAAAATAATATAAAATATTAGCACGTGAAATAAATTTATAAATTCATCGAACAGTAATTTTAACGGTTTCATTCTCTCGAATTCAAAAAAAAAAAAAAGAAAAAAAAATCTGTTAGTGAACAAACGCTTTGGGTATTGACCCTTAAATTCCGTAAAAGAACCTTAAAAACAGTGCTAAAGGAAATAACAATAAACGTGTGATTTGTGTAATTTGGAAGCAAATTTTTCTCAACATCGCAGGACACCTTTTTCATCAACTTTAAAAGAAGACTTTAATTACATCGCAGGACACCTTTTTCATCAACTTTAAAAGAAAACTTTAATTACATCGCAGGACACCTTTTTCATCAACTTTAAAAGAAAACTTTAATTACATCGCAGGACACCTTTTTCATCAACTTTAAAAGAAGAATATAATTGTATCACAGGACCTTTCATTGACCAAATTTAAGAGAAGGCTAACACTGGGTAAAAATGATGATAATATTTCCTATTTTTGGATGCATGTAAGTTAATATGTTCATATAACTAATATAAATTAAATAATTAAATAATAAAAAAAAATAAAAATAAAAATAAAATAAAAAGGAATTAAATGAGGCAAAGTGAATTGTTTTTTGACAAATTGAATTTATATTTGAAACAAATAATAACCACAACTTGTTTTTATACATATATACACATTAATTTTTTTTTTTCCCTTAAACTGAATTATACCGTGAACAAAATTAAAAATAAATTATAACTTATCT